CTGGGAAGAAGAGAGGCATGCATCAGGGATGACACCCATGGCAAATTGTTATTAAACCATTTCATGCAAATCCTTATAGCTGGTATGATTATGGGTATTCATCTTATGAAGAAGATTTATTTGGTTGATGGGAAGTACAAATATGAATCACAAAAAGGAGGAAAACTTGCTTGGAGACTTATCTTGAGGTTGACCTTACCTTAAACTTATTCCTAAAATTCCATCTAGATAATCATTTGTCAATATGAAGGGTGTTGGTGAAGATAGACTTGATAAAGGTCATGGGACCTTGTCATATCAAGACAAATAACCACGACCCAAGAGATAGAAATCGATCAATGTGATTGAATGCCAATATGACCAAGAACTTTTTTATGACAAGTATGTTCAATGCAAACTTAATGGAGATGATGAAGAAGATTTATACGATGAAGATCTTGCAAACAAGGATATGGAGAACCTGATAATTTCTAACAAGTCTTGTAGAGATATTATGGAAGATTATTTTGGGTTTGGATTTCATTTAAGTACAACAGTTGAAGTATTAGAGAGAATAGATGATGATGTCCTTAAATTATCTATTAAAAATTGAACTCTTCCACTTCATAAAACAAATTCTTTGAGTACAATATTGTAGCTAATTTATTCATGAAGTAGAATGTCTTTAACCTATGAGCTTCAATTTTTAATTTATGGTGCGTGTATAATAAGTAACAATTCATATGTGATGTTATACTTTATATTTTTATGAAGTCCACTTATAGTTCCTTCCTATATTTTTCTACTTTAAACTCGAGTTCATTAATTGCTGAAGAAATGGATGATTCAAGAGAGTTTAAAACCATGTGTTGTCCTTGCTTTATTGACACCGAAGAAGGATGGCAGTTGGCGTATATATATTGATAATTGCACCATCAATAAAATCATTATAGGATATAGGTTTTCAATTCCACGATTAGATGACATGCTAGATTAGTTGTGAGATGTAACAATACTTTTAAATATTGACTTGAGGAAGGAGTACTTTTAAAATAATATTTGACCAAGAGATGAGTGGAAAATAACTTTAAAGATAAAATATAGGTTGTATGAGTAGTTAGTCATGATTATCAAGTTAACAAATACACTAAGCACATTCATGATGATGATTAATCAGGTTTTGTTTAGTTATAATGAAACAAATCATATTGAGCACTTAAGAAATGTTATAAAAGTGTTGTTAAAAAATAAGTTGTATGTGAATTTGAAGAAGTGAGTTTCATAACCAACAAGTTGTTATTCTTTGATTTTGTAATAGAAACTAATAGAGTCAAAGTTGACACGAAAAAAGTAAAGGCAATTTGTCATTGGCCTATGCCAAAAACAGTTAGTGATGTGTGAAGTTTTCATAGCTTGGCTATAGGAAATTTATTTAGAATTTCAGTAATATTATGGCACCAATCACTGAATGTTTAAAGAAGAGGAAGTTTAAATGGGCTCGTAGAGGAAGAAATAAAACAGTGTTAGTTTTAGAGGATAAGTATTATTGGTCTCAACTCAAGCATGATGCAAACAATTTTGTTCAATGTCATTTTACATGTTAAACAGCTAAGGGGCAATCACAAAACACTGATTTATATATGCTTCAACCTATACATGAACATATTTAGAAAGATGTTTCCATAAATTTTATGTTAGGCCTATCATAAATTCAGTGCGGAATTGATTTTGTTTTTGTTGTGGATAGATGTTCAAAAATGACATATTTTATACTTTTTAAGAAGACTACAGATGCAATCAATATGGCTAGGCTATTTTTTAGAGAGATAGTGATGTTCCATGGTGTTCCAAAACTCATCACATTTGATAGAGATATTAGGTTTCTTAGTTATTTTTTTGACTAACTTTATGAAAGATGTTTAATTCCTCTTTGAAGTTTAGTAGAACTGCTCATCCACAAATTGATGGCCAAACAGAATCTCTAAACAGAACTTTAAGCAATATGATTCATAGCATTGGTGGAGAGAAGCCTAAACAGTGGGAAATTGCGTTGGCTCATGCAGAACTTGCTTACAACAGTTTCAAGCATAGCGCTACTTATAAGACATTATTTTGTATTATGTACATGAAGCCTTCAAATCATGAACTCAATCTACACTCACTATCTAAAGCTACTAGATTTAGCAAGTCAATAGACAATTTAGTTGAATAGGTGACAGGTGCGCATCTGAAGGTCGGGAGAAAACAAGAAGTTGCTGCCAAAATTAAATAAGCATGCAGCAAACAAGCATAGACAAGGTAAACTGTTTGAAAAAGGAGACATGTCCATGGTTTTCTTGTTCAAGTAGAGGTTTCTAGTAGACACCTATAATAAACTAAAGATGAAGAAGTTAAACTATTTAAAAAAAGAGATTAAGGTTTCTAGCAGGCACCTATAATAAATTAAAGATGAAGAAATATGGTTCGTACTGAAAAAAATTAATGATAATACTTATATTTATTATTAATCTTCCATATAACATACATAAGCATATTATATTGTTGATTTTAATATTAATATAAATACAGATATCTAGTTTATTTTATAAAGATTAATATTATTATTTAGATTAAATAAAAATATTAGAGAATTTTTTCTAGATTTTTTTATAATTTGATCTGTAACCTGAGATTTTGAAAATCCTAGTTTTATTTTCGCTATAAGCTGCATCAAATTATACGTAGACAGTTTTGTAACTCGATATATTTCAACTTACAAAAGCTGCAAGGAAGTCATATTCCCTATCTCTTTTGGTATGCTACCACTTATATTGTTCCACATAAAATTCCTGCAAAAAAGAAGCAAATTCAAAAGGATTGAGAGTTTCAGTAACAAGGATGATGATTAAATAAAAGATGACCATTTGATATTAATTGATGGTGTGCTAATATGATCTGACTCACAATATTTTTACATATGTTAGAAGACCGAGTTGAGGAGCTAATTTTCCAGAGAGATTCAGATGTAGCATACGCCTGCCAGAACGAACATACATGATCTGATTGATCTGATCAACCTTAATCTATAAAGATAACAGCAAATTATAGATATGAAAGTATAAAATCAGCATACAATTCTCTGACGTGAAAATAACCATCATTTTTATCCCAGGTGCAGAGTACTCCTGTCCAGTTCGATGTACAAGGATCATTTTTTTTCCAGTCATTAAGATTGCCCTGTGTATCTTTGAGACTCCGACGGACTGCTTGCAAAACACTGACTGGAACACACAGGAAAGAATCATTCCACAGTGACAATAACAAAACCAAGGAACATAATCAGCCATGCACATGCTTGTAAGTGTGTCTGTTTATTCATGGATAAAGAGGAGAGAACCTTCCAATGGATGAGTCAGCTGCGCTGAAGAAAGCATAGCAAAGTAACATTGCAACAAAGCAATAATGACTCCAAATAGACAGAACCTTAGCCTCAACATCTGTCGAAATCAAAACCAATATGATCAGCGTGTAAGAAAGAAACACAGAGAAAGAAGCAAGTTGTCATGGTGGTAGTCAAGAGGCTGCCATGAAACAAATAAACGTAGCTTACTGTTATCAGAAAGACTACCAATTACTAAATGGTAAAGAAACTTCACCTTCATGCAGTGAAGGGATTGTGAGATAGATAATAAGAAGCAAGAAGAGAGCAGGCTAGAAGAGTGGTCGAGTCATTCTTACGTATAGAATTTGCAAAATAGTCAAGATGTTAGATAGCCATTAAAAAAAAGAAAATTATTGCTGATCAAGGCAACTCCCAAGCCACTGTAAGGCGCCAAACAACATAGCTGACCATTTTAATTTTCTATAATTATTGTTCTTTTCTCATTCATTTTCAATTAATTTCCCCCCTCTTCCACCTGAATAACACCCCCATCTATTCTTGAGCGGCTCAATTATAGGTTAATAAAGGTTGGGATAGTTTCCTGTTAAAAAAAAAAAAATGGTTAGGCCGCAGAGGACCGGAAAATCTCGACAAAAATCCGACCCTGTCACAATTGGTATCATCCCAAACCCCTTTGAACTTTCGAAAGGGACCTTTTTTTCCTTCTTTCTTTTTGATCTTTTATATTTACAAGCAATGAGATATCTACGAGTCCCTTTGAATGCCTCGAGACGACACTTGCATCGTTCATTTCTGGACAAGATGTTGCATGAATCACGGTTTGAAGCCATTGGTAAGATGGGCAAACCACGATATTATTGCTGGACATAATACAGTAGCTATCCCTTCTTCTATATTTTTATCCAAACTCCATATATTATGAATTGTGCACCTTTCTCCAACGGTAAGCCTTCTCCCTTTTCTAATATATTTCCGAGCAACTAAATCCTCCCGGCTGGGTTGCTTTAAACAATATGTGAAAGGAGACATCAAAAAATGTCGCCTCGCCATGCTAGTGGATAAATTTTAATCCCGTTTAACGGTGAAGTCAAAAGGACCACGTCAAATTCCTAAATAAATATAGTGGCATGGAAGAGATCATACATCAATGTAAACAACCGAAACTAAAATTTTATGAGAATTTGTACCGAGTCAGTGAAGTTCGGAAACAAGCCATCAGAGATGCTCACACCTATCATGGAGCGCTGACGACATCATTTACCAGATCAACAGTTTTACATTACATTATGCCAAGGCTTGAGTAGACTAATAGCATCTTTAGGAATATAATTATGATTATTTTTTAAAATACTTTTTATGTTTAAATATATCAAAATAATTTTTTTAAAAAAAATTATTTTTAAAATTAGAACATCAAAACAATCCAAAACACACAAAAAAAAAAGAAATTTCAGCAAAATTAAATTAAATTTTTTAACACCATGTTCCCAAACATTACCTAAAACTTTAAAGAGCAGGAATATGAAAGTCCAAAAATTATCAAATGAAAGAAATGGTCTTATGATTCGGTCCCTGTCTCTCGCCATGCAAGGGCATTTGTTTTGGAGTTGAATTTCTATGAAATCAACCACTTTATAGATAAGATAAATGTTGCTGTAATAAGACAATTTGATATGAGATCACTCAAATAGTGTTCTTTGACGGATTACAGTATCTGATAGTGAACGCCAAAACAATACAACAGCAAATTGGAGAAGTTGTCATCTTAAGCAAGGTAATAAAGTACAGGATGTAGGAATAAATCAACTGTTCTTGAACAGTGGAAAGTTAACCGCCTCATATTTCCATGACATACATGACAATCAATCGCGAAAGCTTCAAATTACAGTTACATGTGATGTGGTTACAAGTAGATTTCCTCTCTAAAGTCCTTTGTACCATTGCATCTTGCAAGATGAATCAGTTACATTCAAGCACAAAGAAGCCTGTCCTCACCCCAGTGAACTAGTACTTTGGGTACCAAAACATACCTTTAATGCCCTCAGGATCAGGTTCAAATCCCAAATTCCGATAGAACTCTACTACTGCAATGGCAATCAAATAAATCCATTTCAAATCCCACAATCAAAATTTATAACTCTGATCAAAAAAATTGATCCCAATCAAAAGAGAACATGGTTTTGAGGGTACTAATATTATAAGAGAAGCAAAGCTTAAACGAGTTCAATTGGACAGGATTGAATTAAATATGGAAACAAAGTGAGCAGTGCAAAATAAGAAACAATCTACATTCCCTCAATCAATCCTGGACCCTTTCTGGAAGACAAAATAATCAAATGTTTTGCAGTTGCACATGCAGGAAAATATGAGTCGCCAGCCCCACATCCAGGTGAGAGGCACCAACATCTAACTGTACCAGAAGATCTGACAGATTTTATGGTAGGAATGCAGTATAATGAACCAACAAAGCTTTTTACTGTACAGATTGCTATACCTTGACTATCTGCAAATAGCGTTATATTGCCAATGTCCCTTTGTAGAAGAGCTCTAATAATCTTTTCAACAAGTGTCTTACCAAGGCCTTGGCCCTGAATGAAATATAAAACAATTTTAAGAAGTGATGTTAGCTGGCATAGTATCAAAACCAATTATAAGAATCTCTTAATATCGGAATTGATAGGTACATGCACTTTTAGAAGATGAATAGTGAGCTCATTCAATTAGTACATGATTCCAAGTCCAAAATTGCTTTGTTTCCATGCTCTGAACTTAACCTTTTCAGAGCCATAAACCACAAACTTAACCTTTTCACGTCATAAACCACAAACTTAACCTTTTCATGTCATAAACCACGACAAAGAAAAAGAAAATCTGGAAAAATGCTGTAGCCACCATAATCTGAAGTCAGCTATGTCATACTTGCTATCCATTCCAAATGCCTGTCATTTTGTAGCCAAACCAAAGGATCACACTACGACTAGCAATCGGTAAGGCTTATTCTCTCCCCATTCTGCGACCAAAATATTTCCTAAGGTGACTATAAAGTCAACAATTCCTGCAGGACGCATCACTATCCCTAATATCATGTATCCCAAGAAAAAGGCAAGCAGAAAAGTAATAAAATCACTATTCCCGTAATCATGTATCCCAGGAAAAATGCAAGCAGAGAAGTATTAAAATTTCAAGGTTCATTCTCCTCATGCAGACAATTATGGAAGAAAATTGCACCAAGCATGCATCTATGGATTTATATTGTTGCATAACAGAAGATAGCATTTCTAATTCTCTGCATCAGCAAGTCAGCACAGTTATCTATTAAAAAATAACGTGAAGTATACCTGATAGCTAGGATCAACCAGAACATCCCAGATTGTAGCATTGAAGGCATGATCAGATGTAGCACGAGCCATGCCAATAAGCTTCTTTTGGTCATTCCCCTCTGTCAAATAACTTCTCCAAGTACACTAAGATGTTTACAAAATAATTTTAGATGTGGAAATAAGCGTAACTTCAACTTAACAAGATCAATTACATGAAATGGGATGTCTGACAATATATCTACTACGTACCCGATCCAGGTGATTTCCGTATAGAATGCAATGTGGCTACCATGTAGCTATTTTTTAAAGCTGCATCTAATTTTGACAGTGGCCTTCTAGGCCAGCCCACCTGTTAAGCAATGATTTTAGTTGTTTTATTGATTTTGGATTTCACAAGTATATAACACCATAAAAATGTTTTGCCACTAATTAGTTGGTGATCCTTCAAACTGGAAAGAAAGCATGCAGATTTCAAATGTGTGATGTGAGCAGCAATCAACCAATGATAGCTCATTGAATCGATTGTCCCAATCTTCCATTCATTCAAAGCTGGACTACTTCTGTTATTTTAAACCAATATGATAGCATCATTTTAGACTCTGGGTTTTCGCAAGTCAGAATCCAGATTCAAGAAAGACTCTTCTGGGTAAATTTATAAATTGTGTTAAAAGATCAGCTACAGACATTGCAGAGATAATCATTTTGTAGCAAAATCTCCTATCATCTTCGCCTCTTGACATTGGCCAGAATATGAGCCCGGTATTTGGTTTTTCATTGAGTTGAAGATAGCGACACAAAATGGCATCAACCAGAAACACAGTTACCTTATCACACAGGGTCTGCAGATCATAAATATCAACATCCCCACCAGAAGAGAATATTATTTGCTCAACCACTCCATCTTCCTCAGTCTTTTCCACAAGAACAAACTCTTCAGGCTGTAGTTCTTCCACTTCTTCGAGCGTAGAGGGTGATTCCACAACTTGCGTCGAATTATCCTTCAAGAACCTGCAATAAAACACAAAAATGAAAACATCCCCATTACATAAAACTAACTAGTGCGGTAGACAAATTATAGAAGCCCAAAAACTTACCCAACACACAATGCCCAGTAGCCTACAACCTCACAAGACACCATAAGCATTGAATCTTTTACTCTCCAAAACTTTCAATTAGCAATCATAAATTCACACAACAAGCACGTTTTCCTAATCAAAACATACAGGATTCCATACGGAATCAAAGTGAAATATATTCCCAGGATTGGTTTAGGACATAACACAATCACAATTAGATAGTGAAACAAGATAAATTAATTAATTAAAAATAAACCAATTCATGTTACCCAGATCTTATGGACTCCCAAAAGTTAGACCTGAGTCTCGAAACCTTAAGCTTTCTTCTCCCTAAAAAAAATATAAAATATTATCAATTCGAAATCATTTCAAAGCAGGATAAAAAGAGAAAAGTTAGGGCACAAGTAAGAACACACCTGTATTTGCAAGTCGGTAGTTGATATAATTGAATTGATGCTTAGATGGTTGAGCTGAAAATTTTGGCAATCTGCAAAATTTGAATTAATAGGGTTAGCTTCAAAAACCCTAATTTTTGAAGTGGAAATCAGCAGATGGTTTGAAAGGAAGATTTTTTTTAATTAGTTACATGGAGGGAGGCGCGACGACGTTTAGGGTTAGCATTTTTTTGGTCTTCTGCGTTGGGGAGAAGAGACAATTGCTTTGCAGGGGAGTGGAAGGTGTAGATGCTTTGCTGTGTGACTGTCACTGTGCTGTGGAGGGTAGACACTAGACAGACGATGACGGAGGATTATTTCAAATTTTGATTTTCTATTTGTGGCCCAGTGTTTTTAAGGTATTCCACAAGTTGCCTGATTTTGTTTCCCTTGGAATTTACAACCAGCAAATGGGCGACATTTACACCATTTAGACAGCGTGTGTATCATTATCCAGTGATCAAATTTAATTAGCTATTATCTTATTAAATATACAGTTATATCTTTTTTTATATGGTATGATATATATAGAAAAATAATAGTTAGATTGTTGAAGTGATTGATTACTTATGTTTTTTTAATAATTAAATGTATAATTATTATTTTTATTTGTTATTTTTTAATTTTAGTTTTTAATTTTTAAATTTTTTATTTCATCTTTATTCCTTTTATAAAAGTTTTTTTTAATTTTATTTTTCAATTATAATTTCTTATATGTTTTGTTTTTCATTTTAGTTTTTATTTTTTTATTTTTTTATTATTTTTATATTTTCAATCTTTCTAAATCCATCCCTATTTTTGGTTGGTGTTTCAAAATATATCCTTTTTATTTTGATTTTTAATTTTGATCATTTTCTTTTTTGTTTGAATTTTATTTATTTACAATTTAGCCTTTCAATTCTAATTTTTGTATATTATATTTTTCAATTTAGTCCTTTTATCTTTGATTTTTTATTTTTTTTCCCTTGGTTTTTTTTTTAAGTTCTTAAAGTTTTTAATTTTACTATTCAAATCAAATAATGGTTTTTTTTAACAGTAATAATATTTTTTTAAAATTCATTATTAATTATATTAATAATATTTATAAAATAAAAATAAAAATAGTTAATAGTAATAGTAATTGTGATTGTGATAGTAGTAACAGTAATAGTAATAATAATAATAATTACTACTATTACAAAACAATAACAACAACAACAATTTTTAATGTTAACTTTCAAATCAAATTTATAGTTTTTTTTAATAGTAATAATATTTTTTTCAAATTTATTTATAATAATAATAATTATTATTATTTTTGTTGTTGTTGTATAGTAATAATTGATGATAATTGTGATCGTGATAGAGTAGTAGTATTAGTAGTAGTATTACTACTAATAATAATAACAACAAATTCTAAAGGGTGTGGTTCAAATAGATAAGTTATGGGTTTGCTCTCTAAAAATCATCAGTTCGAGTTCCACAAACCTTAGGACCACTAGAGACTTATATGATCGTTAACTTGAGGACTCGTGAGATTAGTTGCAATGTAGGCAAACTGGCCTGAACACCTACATTACTAATAATAATGATGATGATAATGATAGTACTACTGATAACAAATATGACATTACTTATTGACAATATTAGTAATGATAATAATAATGATATGAATAATAATAATTCATCATTCGATATTGTATTAATCTTTAGATAATAGATTAATTGAGAATTTAGTTTTATAATTGATTTCATTTCACCTTTTATAAGGTTATTATGATCTAAAAAAATCTCCATATTGGGTTGGTATTTGATTTTGAAATTATCTTTTTTTTTTATTGTGTAGTTAAATAAAAAAAATTAAAAAACATAATTTTAGTGGTGTCCAAAACCTAGCTCACAAGTTTGGCGTACTAATTTAGCTTATCCCATTTATAGGTTTGATAAGTTTACCCAATAATATAATATGTTTTTTTCTTTTAATTATTTTTAATTTAATTTTTTTATTTTTTTATTTAATATTAGATTGGTTGAGAAATGAATTGCATTATTAATTTTTCTTTACTTTCTAAGGATAATTGTCTCAAACAAGTATCTGTTTTTAGATTCATGCTTATTTTTGTGAGTATTTATTTTTATCATATAATTAAATATAAAATATAAAAATTTTATTAAACTCAATAGAATCTATGACTTAAGTCGTGAGGGGTAGATCTAATTTATAATCATCTCAATATATTTTTTTAAAAAAAATCATTTTAAAGTTTTTTTTAAAATACTAAATCATGTTTTTATCAATTATCAAAATTATATTTGAACCTATGAAATCATTTATTTTAAAGAATTGAGTCAAGCAGTTTTAAAATTAACCAACTTGGTTAGATTTAATAACACTTAAAAAATTCTTCATACTTTTAATATTTTTTTAAAAAATTGATATTAACCCACGGTGGAATGCGGGCTAATATACTAGTAAAATCTAAAATTGTGAGATTGATTTGTGATTTTATATACAAACAAAAGATTAATTTATAGTTATAGGATAATTATGATAAATGCCTTAAAAGAACACATCTTTTATCAATAAAAAACGGTATAATTGTATATAATCTACTAGTGTGGAAGGCATCCAATTTATTATTATTATTACTATTTTGTGTGTGAATGCACTAATTAAGGTGTAGATGCATGCTGAAATCTTTATAAAAAAAAAAAAAAAACATAAGCGTAATACGTGAAAATTGATACAAAGATACCGTCGACGTAAAAAGAATCAATGGTTTTTTTACATCATTAATACTATGGAATTAATATAATATAAAAATCGGGTTAATTTTATTTAATTATGAAAATATAACCTTTTGATTATGGAAATGAAAGGTTGGATTTATTGATATTATTATAACAAAAAATTATTAAGGGACCCACCTTAGTCATCTACGTACAGTGTAAATGGAGGAAAACAAAAATAAAATAAATATAAAATAAACAGACTAGCAGCTACAGCAATCTCAATGCGATAGAAAGGTAAACCATACCCATAGCCACCTTCATGACCCAGAGAATTACTTCCTCTTCTCACCGTCCTCCTCCCAAGAAAAATTGCAAACCCACACCACAATCTCCCCTCATCTCCTCCACATCATCCATACCGTAGCTCACCTAGTTAAAGCAGCCTCCACCCCATTTTCTTTCAAGAGTACAGACAGCCTCCCTTCATATGCAGATTGATGAATGAAGATATATAGAAAGGTTGGGTGTGGCGTGGAGGAGCTCCGGAGGGGGATGATGGCTTGCTACATCTAGAGAATGGAGATGGAGATATCGAAGAATAATTGAACCTTGAAAGGTTGGGTGTGGCGTGCAGAAAATCAGGAGTAGAAGGGGGCGACTGCAATGTTAGGGATAGCATCTAGGGCGTAGAAAGCAGATACATATATACAAGTCCATTTAGTTTGGTTTGGGTATTTTAGTTTCAATCTTATAAAATTAAAATTAAACGGAACTGAATTTTTTTAAAATTTATAATGGATTTTTTTTCAATAATTTGATTTTTTTAGTTTTTTAATTTATTTTTACTTGCCTCTACTATAAACAAGCGAGGTGTGTTCATTCGAGAATACATCATACTTAAGTTGTGAATTAAATTTTTTAATTAAAAAATATTTTTTATTTTAAAAAAAAAACATGTTTGAGGATAGAAAAGGAGACACAAAACCAACAACATCCTGCTTACATGGACACACGCACAGTTGTTGGGCATATGATTGGTAATTAAGAAGGCAGCCGGGCAATGGCATGCCCTCGTGAATAATGTCCGATCGAGAGCAGCCGACAAAAGGAAAGTGTACTGTGCATGTGGTCTCCATTGGCAAGGTTACATGTCGAGAGAGTAGGATATACAGGGCAGAAACTCAGTCTACATTACTACCACCTCCTTATGTTATTTTATTAAGATTAATTAAGTCTTAAACTTCTCAATCTTGTCCTAAACACGGTGTCTGTTGATGATTAGCAATCTCACTCCTTGTCCATCTGTAAAATATTTATTTAATCCAACCACAGTATGCCCATATATATATATATATATATATATCCAAAGAAAGAAAATGAAATTGTAAAATCACAACATGCTCGTTGATATAAGAATCTTATATTAAGAAATTGTAAAGAATGAATGGTCTTCCTTGTTTTATTTGAGCCTTTAGGCACCGAACATGTAAAGAGAAAAAGGAGGAATGCAAAGGGGGAGAGCATGCATTTGGGACAACTCTTTTTAGTACCTCTTTTCTAATTAATTGAAATCACATGAAAATAATTTTTTTCATATTTTTTTATTTATTTTTAATATTAGCAATTGAAATCACAGAAAAAACACCTAAAAAGCATCAATTTAGATAATGTTTGTTTTTGCAGCGTCGCCATGCTTTTGAAGAAAATAATTTCTTTTTTCAACTTAATTTCTTTTAATGTTTTCAAATGATTTTATTACGTTAATATTAAAAATAAATTTTAAAAAAATAAAAATATCTTGAAAAGCAACTGGTATTATACTTACAAACACCACCCTAATGCTTTCTCGGACAAGAAGTTATCTGAAAAACATCTTGAAAAGCAGCAAACACCGTAACGATGCTAAACAGGCACTAAATTGACAATGAGGCAACATATAAGGGACTGAAATGAGGTTGGAAAATGTGAATTGGAGGGGTCAAACAAACCGAAGGAAGGGAGAATATTTTGGGATTCAGATTATTTGTTGTGTTCAATGGATGATGAAAAAGAGAAGAGATGGGAGAGGGGAGAGGGGAGAGGACAGTCTCTCTAATAATTGCTCTCTTTATTGAGTTCCGTGCCATCATCTGTCCAATCACTCCACGCCTTCTTCTTCTTCCTCCATCGACACTTTCTTTTGCTTTGAACAGACATGTGGCCATGGACTTCATGGAATTAACGCTATTGCCACCATCCACTATCCTGTTCTTGACTGCCTTTTCCTTTTCCTTTTCCTTTATCTTTTGAAATTTCTTGAAATTGAAAATGAATAGCTTTTACTTCTCTCCATGCCTCTCTTTTTCTTTCTTTTTTTCATTATTACATGATAATATATACTTTAAATCTTAATCAAGATTAATTTTAAGTAATTCATTTTACTTTATATCAATGTAAAAATCACATTTTTAAAATTATTTTTAAAAAAACTTAATCTCAATTAATTTATAAGTTAGCTTGAATATATCTTGTCAATCAAGATTTTTTTTATATATATATATAAATTATTTAATTTTATTATTAAAAACCATATTAATTTTCATGTTTGATAATATAATTTCTAAAAAATATTGAAATTAAAAAA